CACTGCCAACATTCCTGTGCCCAGGGCATCCTGTGGGCAGCAAGTAGGGCAGGAGAGCTGCAAAGTCACAGAAAGGTCTGGAAGAATCAGGCCATGGGACAGGGATTTGGAATTGCASATTAAAARAGCAGAGTTGAGATTGAGAGCTCCYCTAACTCACAGATCCACCCCCAGCTCTTACCTGAATTCCTCCCCTGGGCCTTTTTTCCCATCCGGATTGCCACTGGCTTCAGAGGGAAGAAAAAATCCCGAATTTTTTGCTGCAGGAAGAGTTGGAGTTGGTTGAATAAGTTCTCAGATAAAGGAAGCAGCACGTGCACACAGAAAATTTTAAAACATTTATGTTTTTCTATGTAAAAAACCCTCTGTGCAACAAACAGATCCTGTGCACAAAACCACTCCAAAAATTTCCCTGACTGATCAGACAASTCTCAAAATACAGAAAAGTGAAAAATTTCTGCAAAAATCTCACAGAGTTACACTCTGAGCCTCCCTCCTCAGTTGGGAAACCAAACTTGCCTCAGTGATGTTGGAGGGAGCCCCACGAAGTTTCACTGTGAACGCAGTGCTGGCTTCCCCTGAGCTGCCCTGGCTCTGCACAGAGGGAAAAAAAAAGGGGAAAAAGATGAATGAGAGGAGAAAAATCACAGCAAAACCAGCTGGGCTTGAACAACAAACAGGAGGCTGAGCAGGGAGAGAGAATATCAGGAGGTTTTGGTAACAGGGAATATCAGGAGGCTTTGGTAAGAGAGAATATCAGGAGGTTTTGGTAAGAGAGAATATCAGGAGGTTTTGGTAAATGTGGAGCATGACGGGCCTGCTGAAGTCAATAAAAACTGAGTGAAACAGCATTTCCTGCAATAAAAAGGGAAAAAAGCCTTGGAAAAAGGCACCAGGAGCATTTGATTGGAAGCCCCATCTGTGGGAATTCAGTCAGCATTGAGGAGATTCAGCAAACCTTTAAAAAGGCTCACACCAAGAATGCAAAAAGAGCTGGAACCCTGTGGGTTCTGCAGCCTTGACAGGCTCAGCTCTCCCCTGCAGGGACTGACAGCCACATTATCCACAAAGCTCCTGCTTCAGGGAGCACAGAAATCTCCTTCTGCTGTACCTCTAGCGTGGATCCTTTTTTCTTCTTCCCCACTGGTGTTTCCTGCTCTGTTTGTTGGGGTTTTGGCTTTGTCCTTTTCTCTCTGGGGGTTTCTGCAATGCCTGAATCCTCTCCAGTCTCACTTTCCTCCTCCTCACTCTCTGTTTCTTCCTCTGTACTGGAGGAGGAGGAGGAGGAGGAGGAGGAATCCTCCACCACTTTGGATTTCAGGTAATCCAGATCTGAGAGGTCTTTGCTGGTAGCTGCCTTCTTCCCTCCTTTCTTTGCTGTTGGAGAGATCAGAGAATTTTTTTCACACCAATGCTGCTGCTCTGCCCCCAAGCCAGGAAAAAGCTGAGAACTGCCACAATCCTGACCCTCTCATCAACATTTTCCATGGCAAAGGTTTGAGAAGAGCAGAGCAATTTGATCTCAGCACTTCCAGACTGACAATCTGCATTTCMAACAACAGTTCATGTATAAAATACATTAAAAAAAGGGTTGAGGGGTTCCAGGATGAAGCATTTTGTCCCAATTTTAACTCAATACCCCAACTTTAACTAAATATTCCAATTTTAACTAAATACCCCAAGCAGGCCTCAGAGGTTTTCAGGTGCTCAGTTTCACAGGGAGAAGGGCACAATCACACCCACATTTGGGTCACCCACAGGGAGGTGAGGGGCAGCAGGGAAAACAGTGTTCACTGCAGCAGGAGAGCTGAAGGAAACGCCACAGGGAGGGAGAAAAGCTCCAAAGGCAGCCCATCCCTGCTGCAGGGACAGTGGGGTCTGAAACACACACACCAGACTGCAGCCCAGCCCTCTGAGCCATCAGAATTCACCACCACAGCTTCCCTTCAGGAGCTGAGGTTCTGAACCCTGGTCCAGGGACACCCCAATTCCAGAAAAGTGCACCAGACAACTTTACAGACATTCCCCAAGTTCCTAAAGGAGCAAAACCCCACCCAGCCCTGGAAATCCTGCAGATGAAAGTGGCTGCAGGCTGGGAAAACCCCTGAAGGAAAGCTGCAGATGTTTGTTCTGTTACCATCCCTAACACCGCCCTAAAGAAAACAGGGAAAGCACAAATGCCACAAATCCATATCAGACCCTGCATTTCCCACATTTCCCCAAATTTGGGGGAGCAGCCATTCATCCACAGCACACAGAGTGAGTCTCTGGCTTGAAAAATCACCCTCGTGGTGACCCTGAGGCCAATCCCACATCAATCCCTGTCAGTCATCATGAGCAAAGGAAGGAAAGGGTGACATTTCCCGTGGGTACCTTTATCCTCCTCTTCCTCATCTTCAGAGGGCTCATCCCCACCCTCACTCAGCTCCTCAGACTCATCTGAATCAAAGTTCAGGTAATCTGCTGCTGCTGCTGCTGATTTTCCCTTCTTGGGCTCCTCTGCCAAAGTGTCATTGGCCCAMGTGGCCACCTGGGACCGCTTCTGGTGGACCACCAAGAACTCCTGGAATGTTTTATCTTCTTGCAGCTGTGGGGGGGAAAAAAAAAAGTAAATATTTTATCTTGTTACAGCTGTGGAAAAAAAAGCAGACAGGCTGTGAAGAGAGACTCCTAGTGAACTGGAAATCCAAGATATCACCTCATTTCCAGCAGTATAAAAACAAAAATCACTCAAGGGAAGCTCAGTTTACACTGACAAGGTGACTTCAAGTGATTAAAGTTTTCTGAAGATGTCTTACTCCTAGTCGTTTTTATAATTGGTGTTTTAAAAGTGTTTTAAAGAGGAAAACAAAACAATAAAAAGGAAAAAAAATGCCATAAAAGTTAAATATGACACAGCTAAAACCCAGAATTGCTGGAGCAGAACTGACCTGGATGCAGGGTGTGCTCACACAGGAGTAGCTGACCATTAAAAAGTAAAACCCCAGTGTTGGGGCTGTTAAAATGATTTTTTACAATAAAACTGCGCTGTCCCAGCCTGAATTCACAGCAAAGAAGGAGGACAGAAAGGAACCATTGAGTAGCAAGAATGCAGGGACTGCAATCCAGCCTCAACTCACCTCCTTTAAGTTATTCACTGGATCTTTCTTCTTTTTATCCTTGGGAAAAAGAAAAAAAAAATCAAACCAGAAAGGTTTATTAGAAACAATTCCAGGTAACCCAACAGCAGAGATGCCAAGGCAGAAAACACCAAGACTCCACCATGTGWTGTCCCAGCTGCTCTGTCCCCTTCCCCACAGCCCAGGCCACACATCAGAGCCTCCAGGAACCATGCAAAACTCACTTTCTTTGTGCCTGCAGGAGCTGCACTGGCCAAGGGCTTCTCAGGCTGCTTTTCTGCTGCAGGAGCCTTCTGGGAGTGCTTGCTCCAGGCTTTGGGTTTGGTAGGGTCGCCAAAGGACTTGCATAACTCCACCTGGAATGAATCAGGGCTTTAGTGAAACACACAGGCAGCAGCTGCTGCTCTAACTGTGGGGTAACTGCACTCAGGAGCCTTTGGGAGAGCCCTGGGATGGGCAGGAGATCAGGAAACTTCTTGGAGGTGTTAGTTTTATAAACACAGAGCTACACATTCAATCAAATTGGAAAGTTAGGAGTGGACAGCCACAGAATCCCAGGMTGGTTTGGGGTGGAAGGGAYYTTAAAGCCCATCCCATTCCACCCCAGMCATGGCAGGGACACCTCCCACTGTCCCAGGSTGCTCCAAGCCCTGTCCAGYCTGGCCTTGGACAATTCCAGGGATCCAGGGGYAGCCACAGCTTCTCTGGGCACCCTGTGCCAGGGCCTCCCCACCCTCACAAGGAAAGATTCCTTAAGAATCTCAGGAAAATATTTTCAGAGAGTAGCTCACCGTGATTCTGGAAGTGTCTATGAAGCTTTTGTTGAAGTGGTTCAGGGCGGTCTGGGCCTCCTCCTCAGATTTGTAGCCGATGAAGCCGAATTTCCTGAACCTGCCATCCTTGGTGTACTTCAGGCAGCAGTCAGTGAGYGTGCCAAAGGCAGCAAACAGCTTCCTGAAGCGATCCTCCTTCATCTGGGAGAGGGGGAAGGACAGCAGGAAGGGAAATCAGCCACAGAGAGGYTCTGAGGACAAGTCCAAACCTAAATATTCCCTCCAAGGGCTTCTGGAATGCTCTGAGAACCACATTGTGTCATAGCAACATTGATAAAAACCCCTACTTCAGCATCAAATCCCTTCATCTGTCCACAAATCCACCACAGGGGATGGGGATCGGGGAACAGGGAGGGATCCTGCGGGGCACAGCGGCACAGAGAGAACCCGCAGCCAACCCCCAGAACACGAAAGGAGGGCAGTGACCACAACAGGCTCTGCTCCCACCCCGAGGGGCCGCCACCTGCCCAGCCCATRCCCCTCGTGCTGCTTCGTGCACTCCAGAACACCATCCGGACCGCACCGGGGGCTCTCCCTGCCAAGGCTTTTCCACCATCCCACCCCCCATATGTCCCCATGTTCATCCCAGCACATGGCCGCGACCTCCTATCCCCCGAGAATCCCTTCCCMCGGCATATCTGGCTGCTCCCGCTCCAAAACCTCATCCTCTCACCACCYCGAACCTTCTCTCCTGCGGGATCTCCCCTGTCTTCCCCATCCCCATCACACTCYGGCAGCTCCCGCTGCTTCTCCCTGCCCTGCATCCCGCCTCCCCCTTAGCGCCCCCTCAGCCCCATCCCTCGGCCCTCCCCGGCACGGCCGCAGCTGCCTCACCCCATTGGGGAGATTTTTCACGATAAGCCGCGACATGGCAGCGACAGACAGCGAGGAGGGAGAGCTCAGCGCCGCGCACGCCGCCCCATGGGCGCCGCCATCTTCCCCAGGTCACGTGGGCAGCAGGCTGCAGCGCGCATGCGCCGGGGAGGGACCCGGATGTTGGTCCTTAGCAACGGCCCCTTAGCAACGGGGCCTGAGGGGCGGGGGGGCCTGAGGGGCGGGGGGGCCTGGGAGCATCGCGGGGACACGGCGGGCAGGGAACGGCGGGGAGGAGAGGGGAGCAGGGGCAGAATGGAGAGGGGATCCCGCTGATCAGCCCCGGTGTACCCCGACAGGCGCGGCTGCAGCTCCCCGGCCCGCCCGCGCTGCTCGGCGGGGCCGCAGGAGGGAGCTCCACGCCCGCCGCTCCCGGCTCCGGGCGGCCACGGAGCCCGAGTACCTCAGGAGATGTTGGGTTTGCACCATGGGAAGCTGCAGGGTGCCTCGATGTTATGTCTAGAAGTCACGGAAGAGGGAAGTGGCACAGAGCCTTGAAGTCTGGCCCAGGGAAATTACGGACCTCTGGGTGTATTCAAGGTGCCAGGTTGGACAGGGCTTGGAGCGCCCTGGGAYAGTGGAAGGTGTCCYTGCCCTTGGCAGCGGGTGTGGATCCTTCAGACCCAAACCATTCTGGRATTCTTTGACTAAATAAAAACMCCTTCCCTCTGAGGAACAGGTAAATAAYCCCACAGCCAGGGGACGTTGTGTTGTGGCAGCTCCCACAAACAAAAGACAACACAAATGATGAAATGAAAATCCCTTGAGAGTTATTAAATACTGCAGCTTCTCTCCTACCTGAACACCCATCCGCAGCTTCCTCACGAGGAGCAGCTCTGATCTC